AAATATAAGGTAGAATTAAGGCTAAGTCCAGGAATGACAAGGCTGTTTTGCTCCATCTGCTAGATGCAAATGAATTGAATAATTTGACATACTCTCCTTAGGAAATTAATTCTGTGATAAAAAGAGGGGAAAAACAAATAACTTACTAATAGCAGCTTGAAAATTGACAGTTTGTGGAGGTGGAAGTCCCTGGATCTCAGTACTTTTCATAGCTGCCTGCTGAAAAGCCATTAAATTATGCAAAGTGACACATTTTTGATTGAGGGAAAGACCATCAGGTGCTCACAGTGACTGATTTCCTTTTCTGGTTTCGTTACGAGTTGTGAGAATTTGTCATCACAATGAAGAATTATGTTTATTAGAGCTCCACACAGGGAACATGTTATGGAAGAGTTGAGGTGGCAGCAGCATGTCGTGTAATCCAGTTGCATTGATCTTCTTCTGATGGATGTGAGTGCAAATATCCAGGACAAAATGGATATTTATAGGGTTGTATGAATATAAACGGGTTGCCGGTGGGTTGTAATGTTGCTTTCAGAAGAATGTCTTCGGGAAATTTCCAGGAGGTAGCACACCCAGAGCCCAGCTTTAGCTTTTAGGATTTATACACGTCTGAATTCCACTAGGAGTGAGCTGGCAGTAACCAAAGCTCAAAAGCTGTAAAAAGTTTTTGACAGTTTTGAGAGTGTAAATAATTTCATTCTCAGTGCCTGAGGCTGCAGTACAACCAATTTAACAGTGGGTTTCATCTGTGAAAAAGTAATGCTGAAAAGTTGACAAAATTGATGAGTTAATTTTTAATACAATGAATTGTACTTTGTATTATCTCATGGATTTTCAGATAGAAATACCACATCAAAAACACATCAAGAAGTATCTCTGGCAGATCATGATCTGCTACCGACACCTACAGCAAACTAAAGATGATGTGGTGGTTTTACTGTTACGTTTGTAATATTAAATTATCTTTACTGACAATTTAATGATGTAATTTTAATTACTCTTGCCTTCCAACTGCCATTGCACTAATTAAAAAAGAATAAAATTAGAAGTTTGAGTTTTAGTTAACTTAGAAGTTGCCTGTTGTCTGGATATCAGAGAGATACCTTCACCTTTTTGTTTCTGAAGTAGTCTGTTATTCTTTAAATTATACTGCATTCTGAAAGATTCCAGAAAGCTCCTTTTTTTCTGAAAATCAAATAATGCTTTTCCATGATGTTTTAAAATGCTTTGACTAAGTTGTCTCCATCCCTCTTTCTTTTTTAGAAGCAATAGATTCCATGCAACTGAGGGAAATCTCAGATTCATACTTTGTTCATTAGGTCTTCCCTCTTGCCTGTCAAACCTGTAGCAATCAATTTATTGATTTATAGATCAGTTGTAACTATAATGATTTAGTAAATAGTTAGTGGGAAGCTCTTACACCAGCTCAGGTAGAAATGGGTGCCAGATAAGTACAGGATCTTCAATAGGTGCTGGAGGTGTAAGTGTGTGGGTGGCACAGGAGACCTGGAGATCTGTCCACCTGGTTGTGTTGCTGAGAAAAGTACCCTCCTCGTGTCTTAGCAAGAAGATACAAATATTCTGGACTATGAGGGCTTTAATGGAGCCCCAGCTACTCCAGAGTGTCTGAACTGCTGACAGTCACCATGGAGGACCTGCAGCCTGAGGAGCATTTACTGCTCTGCAGGGATATCTTTAAAATCAGTCAAACCTCACTTCTGTGTAACTCCTCTCTCATTAATTTTTATGGGTACTTCTGAGCTGAATTGAACTTGTTTAGAAATGGCAGTTGGCTCATCTAATTTAATTGAATGTTATTAATGAAATTGCGTTTGCCAACCACCTTGGCACTAACACCCTTCGTGTGCAGTTGGAAACACTGTTTAGTTACACAGCAGTAATTGTCAGCAGATGGAAGTTAGAAGGCTTGTATTAAAAATTCTGTGGTCTACTACCGTGAAAGTGGAGCAAACTTACAATAACCAATTGCAATTTATTATGTACTACAGTTACTCAGATTAATTTTTGGAGGTTTCTTATTTTGTAAATTTTTAGTTGAATTTTGTATGATTCGCAGTTAGAAATTATTTTTTTTCTGGCAAATAAGGTTGAAAGAAGATGCTATGCAATGCTGTGTTCCGGTGGTTTTGCAGATAAATTGAGACACTCAAGAAGACAAGAAACATGTACTTTTAAACTTTAAGTACTATGCCATTACTCATGAATTTTACATGGCTCTGGATTCCAAAAGCCAGCATATAAAGGGGAAGCTTGGCTTGCTGAATATGATGACTGGATGCTGATTCAAACCTAAGGCTGCATTTCTGTCTGCTATTAATAACCTTGTCATTGTTGTTATTATCATCTTGCTTTTCTTCTTTCTGCTTGAGCTATTCCTGGTTAAGTAGGTGTATGGGAATTCTTTTGCCAGAGTAAAACTGATCTTTAGAATAAGACAAGCAGGTCAAGGTTGCTGAAGTCTTGGTGTATCTGCTGGCACAGGCAAAGATGCACAATATTTGCTGTTAGGCTGAGCAGTTGGAGACTTTACAGAGATAACTCCAAACTCTCCAATTTATGTTAGAGCTGAATCCAACCAGTGGCATCCCCCTTAGGGGATGTTTGCCTGTTTTCTCAGAAGCATGCAGGGAATAAAAGGTAAGTTAGGGGAATTCAACAGTACATACTGCCAGGAGGAACTGTAATCCAGAGCTTCCAGCTCACGGATTTCTGGCTATGTTGGTTTAAGCCTGCTGGGAGTGATAGAATACCTTGTCTTTCAGAGTTGCTTTCAGACAAAATGTCAGCATATTCTTGCAGGAAGTACATGTATCTTATGTCAGCCTGTCACTGGCTCAGCAAACGGTCTTAGAACTGGTCCACAAAAGTTGGCTGACTTGCCTAAGTTCAAGTTACCTCACACCTGCATTTGTCCCAGGTAAATGAGCAGAACCTTTAGTATATGATTCTTTACATAAAATAAAAAACCAAAAAAAACCAAACCAGTATTACAAAAGAATCTATTGTGAAGGATTGTGCAATATAAGCTTCTTCTGCTATGGCAGTGCTAAATATTACAGGAATAATAAAAACATGAAGATAATGCTGAGGAGTTTGGAGTTTAACAAAAGCAGGTCGAGAGGCTCCAGACAGGTCTGTGCAGTGTTACACACACAGGTCTGTCTCTGTGTTCAGATAGAGTGAAACTACAAACCTCTTAAAAGAATCTCTTTCAGAACAGGGACCTGCTCACAAGTGTGCAACAGAAAATGGAAATCCCACTAATGTTTGATTTTAGTCATTCTTTTTGGGAGATGAACTTTTGTCTCATCTGTGTGAACATTTAATGATCACCTCTTGCTGCAGGATTGCAGAGAATCCATTCTGTCACAGACTATGGGCCAGATTTCTGTTCCATGTCTGAGCCCAGGGGAAGGACTCTGGGGTCAGCAGATCATCTCAAGCCTTTTTCTCCCTGCTTTTTACAACAGGTTATGTTTAACAAGAATGAGGGTTGTGTTGCAAGTTACTACGATGGTGTTAAACTTTGATCTTAAAACAGGTGTAGCAGAGTTTTGCCTCCCTGAGATGAGCACCTCACCTGCAGTACCACTCTGCTCCTGGGAAGGATGTGAACCTCTGTGCTGTATGTGCTCCTCTGGAGAAAGGCAGCCTCTTCACTAAGAACCTGTGTGTAGGATTGTGTGGATTGTCTGCAGTGTGATTTAGTGTCACTTGTGCTGGGGGGTCAAATGACCAGTTCCTGCATTCTCTGAGCCAGGCAGGGCAATACCAGTTCCACTGCGGCCTTGGGATGGAGCTTGCTGTGAGCACGGCATGTGCTGAGCTGGTGAAAATAGTAGTGTGCTACTGGAATAATTATAGCAGCAGCTACCTGAGCTACCAGACAGGTACCAACAGATGAATAACAAAGGAAGTACAGCTTTTGAAGAAAAAAAAAATACATATAGATATCACTTCTTAACTATTTCATGCTTTAAATGTTAAAACTGCTCTCACTGTATATCCATTGTAATAGATTTTGATACAAAGAACTGTTAGTAAAATGGAGTTACAGATATAGCAGTGCTGTAATAGAATGGCTATTATTGTTGGTGTAGAGGAAATCAAAGCCTTATATGTAGCATTTCACAGAGAAAGGAACAGCATCTCAGAGCAGTGTTGGTCTGTGTGTTTGAACAAAAGCAAGGGTTTTCTTTTTTACTGTGAAGTTCTGGTTATTTGTTATGTGCTTTGTAAGTCTCAGCGTGTCTGACCTACCCAAAACGTCATTATTCTCGGCAAAATGTTCTCTGTTACTTTATGTTCTCTTCATTAAGCATTTGTTTGCTTTTTTTTGTAAGAATGGGTGGTAAGCTCTGCAGAGGAGGAGGAGAGAGTCTAATTCTGCACAGCACCTAATCTGATGAATCTGCTCCTTATTTAGGTATTGGGAGCCCCTTGGACAGCCTACAAAGGGAGGCACCTGTTTTTTTTAATATCTGCACTTTAAATATTTTCTTTTTCTTGGAGATTTAGGAAGGAAACAGATGTTTCAGGTTCTGCTGTGCTACTGACCAGATTTACCAAACATCTGTCCTGGTTTGGTAAAGAGAATGAAGCTCCCTTGATTATTTCTAATGGGAGATCCTGGCAAAACAAACGAACAAAGATAAACAGATCTCTAGAGGACTCTATGATAAATCATCAGGAGCAGAAGTGGCAGGTCTTTCTCTCTGAAACATCAGAGAGAAAGAAACATCATCTGGCCTGCCCAGAAACATCATCTGGTATGCCCTGTCTTCTCATACATAATCCAGGTTTGAAGAACTTGAGAGGAACTGGACATTTCATTCTGTTCCTTAATTTAAGTCTCTATCTTTAGCTCCTTAACATTTTTTTTATTATTAATATTCTGTTACTCTCAGCAGTGGGAGAGCTGGCAACTTCAAATACCTTCTTAACATTTCTATTTATTCTTGTCTATTTTTCCCCAGAGCTTGTGTTATTTTGGGTGTCATATTCCTCCTGTCATCTATATGTATTGTGATCAAAGCCATCCACGATCTTGCGAAGAAGGTGCTTCCAGAAGTGGTAAGGTGATTCCTGTTCCTTCCAATGTTCTTTATTCCCTGCCCTGCCAGAGAGACTGAGAAATGCCAGTGTCTCCTTTCAGCAGCCCCCCTGAAGTCTGCAAAGCCCTAGCAAGTGTATTTCCTTTCTGGCTGCACATAGTGGTCCCAGGATTCCAGCAGTATTTTTTCCTGAGAAGAATGTTTCCGTGATTTACTACTCCAATGGTTTCAGTATTTTATCTTCAGTGTGGAAAAAAAGGTATTTTTGGATTATATTTTTTTGTTTTCCAGCTCTTGCCTCCAATTGCAGAGCCATGTACGAGTAGCAGGAATGAAACAGGTGAGGGGAGCGTGCTGGGTCACAGAGCTGGCTTTTTGACTGGCTCACCGTGGAGCATCACAAAGGGCTTTTCTCCTGCTCTCTGCTTTCTTTTGACTGTGAGAACTGGTCCCTACCTGGCCTACAGAGCAGCTCTCCCGTGGTCTTTCTGTCAGCTCTGCTCTGTCCTGCCCTGCTTGCTCCCTTTCAGTACTGGGTATTAAATTCCCCGAGCTCTACTCATCCAAACCTGCAGCTCACTGGGAAAGCCACCTGGCAATGGTTCCACTCCCACAAGGTTCTTCCCAATGTGCTTAAACAAAACGAGGCTTCAGTTTGGTTGTTGTAGACAACCAGACTTGGAGCTTTTGTATTCAGCTCTCATGAAGTTTGGTCTAGTTGTGTGTGCAGTCTCTGGGGTCACCTTGCCAAGTGCCTTTCTTAACACGGCACTGGACGGAAACCTAAACTCCTTCCTTTCATCCAGGAGTTGGAGGCAGAGCTGGGAAAAAAAAAAAAATCCAAAAATTCCATCTTTTTACCCTCTGTTGGCAATGTAGATGACCTAGTGGGTCCTGTGCTCTCATGGAAACTTCCAGAAAGTCGGGCAATTACAGAATTTATTTTCAGTAGTTTAGTGAAATGTGGGCAGAGATGAGTTACCCATCATGAACTGGAGCCCCGTGCATGCTTTGAGTGCAGCTGATTCGTGTTCTTTTTGCATTTCACTTTCTGTCTTTTCCAGTCTTCCTGATTTAACTTCCTCCTCAGCTTTGCCAGGACAACAGCACATGTAGTTCACCAGCCTGGTTCTGTCAGAATGATCTGGGTTAGCTTAAACACTTGCAGTGAGCAGTTCTCAAACCCAACCCAAACACTTTGACAGAACTGGGTTAGGGAGGGGGTTCTGGGTGCCCTTGTGCCAGCGAGGCTGAAGGAGAGGCAGGTAGGGCTGAGGGGAGACCCTGCTGTGACAACCAGCTAAAGGACAACTTCTTAACTTGTCTGTACCCAAACCGTATATCTGGCTATGCTTTAACTCCTGTTTAGTGAGAATATGTAACATATATATATTACATATTATACAAATTTTATATATATATATATATATATAATATATAGTACTGACTCAGGGAAGCAGAAGGGAAAAGGGAGGCTGCAATGATAATTAAAACACTAATTTGGTGGATTTATGGTTGCGTGGATCAGATTAATTTGGGTGTCTCAGTCTACATCAATGTTGGCAAATGCCCTAGGAATTCCGACAAAACAAAAGATTTAAAACAACATTTAGAACAAAAATTTAAAAGTTATGTCATCTGTATCTCACTTTTCCATCATTACAGGTTCTGTCCACAATTTAGGACTCCACTTCTTACACAGGGAGAAATGTCTCCTATTTGCATTATAAACATTTTCTGTGATTTGTAGGGATATTGTACATCCTCATTTTTAATTTTTTAAATTAAAAAAGTTACAGTAGGAAAAAAAAATTAAAAGAAGAAAGATATCCCTGAAGAGAACATTCCATTGCATATTCAGTGCCCTGTAAGAATGATTTGTACAGATCCCTTTTGCCACAGACTGTCTTGGATTCAGTTTGGTGTGCTAAATCTGGTCGAGTCACTAAAAGTTAGGGTGGATAGTGCTTCCATTTGAAACTGTATCAGGACACTGATAGATAATTCTGTTCCTGTGACTGTTCTCACTCCTTTAGGCACTCAAGTGCTATCAACAGTTTGAAAAATGTATCTGGCCAGGCACGGACTGTGGATGACTGGTGCAGGGTAAAAGCCAAATGCACACACATAAAGGATTTTTATACCTTGCAATTTTGCTTGGAAAGTAGGTTGGAGCTTGGGATGGAAACCAATGGTGCTATTGTTCAATACCTCTTAAATAACATAGCAAGGAATTTCAATTCAAAGCCTTTCAGTGCATCTCACTGCGGGAAACCAATTCGGGAGGGGTTGTGTGACAGGTGACATATCTCTGTGTAAACTAAGAATAACACTGAAAAATGGGAATGCAGAGAGAACAACATCACTGCTGCAAGTCACGGCCAGTGGGGTAAAATGCCTCTGGGTTGCCAACATTAAAAATAGTTGGGGGAAAAGGATGTTGTCTAATAGAAACCTTTCCAGTTGCTCTGGCTGTGCATGAACCTGATGGTGATTTTCTGGTTGCACATTGCTCCCTTAGCTGCTCTGTGTCTCAGCAGAAATGATCATTATTCCCAGTTGTTTGGGGCTTTGTTGATTGAGTGTATTCCCAGTTAATCTGCAGCTGCCCAGGCAGCATCATTAACATCTGAGCAGAGTGGAAATCTGCTCCAAATAAATCAGTAAGGGGGAGAAGTTTCTGCCTCTGCTCCTTTATCCAGGGTGCTGGCTTCTATTTCTTGGACCACTGATGAGCTAATGGCTAATGATATTAATTTCTGTAATACCTTACCACGTAATTTAGCTTTAATGTATGGGCATATATGGATAGAAGAGCAGTATTTTGCATAGAAGGGAAGTAACCAGTTCTGCATCAAAATAGTGACCTGAGATATTTTCTGATGGTGATTTCTGAGTCACTGGGATTTCACATTAGCGTGCTGTTCTGAGACCAGGGAAGTATCCTTGTGGTGTGAGCAAGGTAGTGCAACTCCACTGGTGTGCCAAACTGGTATAACAACCAGGGGGAAGAGCTCTGCACTAGATTAGGAGGATGTCTGCTTCAACACCAGCTTCGCATGTGAGTCATAGTCGCATGACTTTTGGGTACAGTTTACGTCTTTATTGCTCTTTGGTGAAGCAAAGGTCATTAGAGATGTGGGTACTTTTTAAAGCATCCTGTGAAATTTTAGCTGTGGGACTTTAACTTTAAGGGGGATAACGTGGCTAAAACCCAACTGGAAAATGGTGAACACAAAGCTAGTACTGTCAGCCTTGCAGATGGAGCTGGTTTGGAATGCATTGCTCTGTTTGTGGGGGAGTCAAGATTAACCTAATGATAATAATGCAGAGCAACATGACCGACTGCATCATTCTCAGAACTATAAAGTTCCTTTTTGCATCCTAAATTGTGGTAAACCTCAGCATCTTTGTCATAATTTCTCTGAGTTCGCTTTAATTTGAATAAGTTTTGGAGAAAATAGTGTGATATGGAGAAGTTTAATTTAAGCAATTAAGCAGCCCGAGCAATTAAGTGTCTGTTTGCTAATTGGAAGGAAGTATGATTAAAATCCTAGAAGCATTGTCAGTCACTTCTGAATAATTAGAAGTTCACTGTATTTCTTGTTGTGTATGAGACACATCAGTTTTGTATCTGTCAGTTTTTAATATGCACGTAGCAAAAAAAGATATTTCCTTGGAAAGAATTTAGGAATTCTTTAATGTAGAGATTCTGCTGTCCTTATAGTGGATCTTGGAAAGGGTTGCTTTCATGAAAATACTAGCAATAAGAAGGAATATAAAAATCACATGACTAAAAAATAATTTGCAATACTCTTCCAAATGTTTTGATATTCTTTTACTTCTGTGGACATTTAGAAACATGAGCCTTCAGTGTTGTTGTCATTTCACATGACGATTTCTGCTGCAGGTCTGGTGATCCTCAGCAGGATTCAGAGAACCAAGAAGAGAATGACAGGTTTACTACACATTAATGGCATTTCCAGCTCGACTACCTCATCCTTGAAGGAGCTTAAATGCCCACAGATTCTTGTTAAACTGCAGAGGTGCTGCTTAATTTACGGGGCAGGTTCAGCTCAGTCAGGCATTTTCCAGTCACATATTTGAATTGTCTTTTATCCCACGCTGAATGTAATTTTGCTGAAGGCCTGTGAATGACAATACTCCTGATCTGCACTGGCAGAGAAGAGAGGACACTTAGAGCTCCTGACTTTCTGCATTTCTCATTTCTCTACCTTTCATTTCTGCTCTGTGTTTGTTTTACCTCTTCCTCCGTGTTAATTAAAAATAAACAATAGGTAGTGTTACGTCACAACACAAGCTTTGAGCACAGGCAGTGGTTTTTGTGATTCTTTTGAATGCTTCAAAACCTTGGGTAACACAGAAATGGGGTATTTCTCCTTTTGGTTCCCTTGCTTGATGTGGCAGGGCCTATGACATAGCCTGTAGGGCAGGATACAGATGGCTAGGTAGATTGATTAATTAGTTTAAAAGAGCTTGGATAAGTTTAATGACAAGTGTTGGACTCCTGGGAGTGTGTGTGTTCTCTATAAGCAACAGCAACTGTGGCCATACTGGGTCAGGCCCATCTTTGCTCTTCACTTACTTTCTTCATAGCTTTCTTTTTAATCTCCATTTTACATGAGGAAGCCTGAAGAGCCCACAGAATTCAAAGTGTAGGGGTCACCAGGGATTTTTGCAATATGTTCATTTTTTGCAAATTATTGTTGAGCATTGAATTGATATTTTTAGAGAACTTTAATTGTAGATTCCATCTCCTGCAGTTAACAGCAAGTTCAGAAATTGTCATTATTAGATAAACTTAATGGTTTTCCCTGTGCACAGAACTTTATATTTATATTATTAAAAAGAAGCCTGCCCTGAAAACTGACATTCTGTGTCAGGAGAGTTGGCCAGAGAATTAATTACACACTTACTCTATAACTCTGTGTTTGTATTAATTATACATTTCTTACTGTCATGGGGAAAAGTTCGTTTTCAAGTAATTGAGACATCTAT